ATATGTATTTTTTAAGGGCAATCACAGGTGGGAGGGAAGGAATGGATGTTGTCCCTGGCCTGAAGTGGCTCTGAGGTGCCTGGCTTTTTTCTGCACCTTGCAGAGGATGACCCTCTGCAGGAGGGCTTTGGGGTTTATGCCTAGTAGGCCACCTCCCCTCTCCCGCTGAATGTCTTTCTAAAGCAACCTCTTGACCCCAGCCCTGGAGGAGGGCCACAGGTTATCAGTGGCCAGGATCCCAGAGCCTATGACCCTGAGATGAGGATTTTGAAGACAGATCATGAAAGATAATCTGTGTGAGGCAGGGATGAATAAATTTGGACAATAGCAGCAGCTGAGTCCAAGGGTCAGTGTCTGGGAGTAATTTAGGAAAGTTCAGTGCTGACAGCTGTGTCTGGAGTTGAACATCATAGCCGAGTCAGCTCCTGGGCTCCTCCACTGCTTCAGGCCAATGCAGCTCTGGCCCAGGACACAGAGACAGCTGTGGTGAGGCAGAAAGCAGGGCCCCCGGGGCCCAGATCACCATGCTCCTGCCAGCAGTGTGACCTTAGGCAAGTCCTTGGGAAAGGAAACTAGTGTCTACTTGAGTGCATGCAATGCCCTTTCACAAATGTCATCCTCGCTACAGCTGCTACAGCGTAGTGAAGAGGGTCATTTCACCAGGGGGGACGCTAGGAATGTGTGAAGGTAACTGAACTCATTCCAGGGGAGTGGAGCGATCGAATGGGACTCAGGGCTTCTGAACGCCAAGTTCTGGGCTCTTTCCCCTCCATGTACCCATCTCACGAATGAAGCCACACATCGTAGGTTCTGAACCCCGCCCTTCTCACAACCTTGGTCCTGAGAGTTGTGGCCACCTTCTGCCTGGCAATACAGTCATCTCACTCTTGCCCCTCTCCCCAATCCTGTTTGTGGGTCTAGGCCCCAGGGGGTCCCCCGAAGGGCGGGTATTGAGACTTTGGTTTCCCCTCTATCTCTATTCCCAGGCCTTCTACCCACTCCGGAGGGCCGGCTTTCTCCTCCCCGGTTTTGGCAGGCGGGCTGACATCCACGGGGATTCCAAGGGAAACTGGGAACAGAGTCCAGCTCCAGGCGCGCCTTCCCCGCCGCCCAGGACAGCCCTTCACCGCCGGCCTCAGCTGAGTTCCCAGCCCCTCCCTCGTCT